TATGTGTGAGAATGTGTTAGTTTGTGTGTATGTGTATTGTTCCATCTGTCTGTCTAGCTACCTAATTATCCACAAGTCCTTAACTTCTTCACTACCAGGCCCGATAATTGAGTGATTGAGCAGACCTGAGAGTAAAGGCGCATCCCTGCGTTTCATAAATCCAAGTGTATAGGAATAAAATACATTTTTGTTAGAATTAGGAAGTTTTGATAACGTTATTGTCCCGTCTCAACACAATAACCACCAACGCTCTCGACCCCCACAACGTAAGCCATAGATAGGGAGATGAATTTTGAGAGACAACATTAGTGTTTGCAAAACACTGCCCTTTACACTTCCAAACTCTCTTTTTTCCCTCAGCCACGCGAATTTTAGTTTTAGTAGAGGTTTACGGCACTCGCAACTGCATAAGGTCATATGAGCGGCAGAAGATTAGATGTGTTACAAGAGAGTAACAAACATAAAAAGAAGGAGAGATAAGGACGCTACATGTAGAAGTTCGATAGTCAGCCACTCGAACGTGATGGATTTACATGTAATCAAGAAAACACTTACCTTTTGTTTTGTTTTTTTTGTTTAGTAAGTGTTTTACGAGTGCATAAGGTCATATGAGCGCGAGGGGTAGGAAATTTTGAATTTTGCCCGGGTGGCGGCCGAAGCCTAAATATACTCTTGTCGATTTTAGACCACCAAGGGGTTTTTAAGGAGCGTAACTTACTCACGGGACCTCCGAGATTTTTCGCCCTTGTCCGAGATGGCTAGGTGTAGATCTTTCCTACCAGAAGATCAGGGGTGTGGCTAAAAGACCAGTAAGAAGGAACCAATGAGTAGCAGTAGAAAGGCTGCAGAAAGAGTCAGAAGCTCAGAGGAGGGGGCAAAGGAGGTGAGGGCAGAAAATGGAGACGAAAGCAGACGACAGCATTGCTCGAGGGCAGGAAAGGAGGTAAAAGTATAGGAGACAATTTTAGAGAAGAAAATGTTACCGTCGCTACCCGGATTCGAACCCGGGACCTTTGAATGAGAGGTGAACACTTTAACCTATAGGCCACGAGAGAGCCCCCACCAACATTTAGTGATTTCAAAATGAGATCTTTAATTAATGTGCACAGCTATAAGATCAGTACCGGTTAGTAAAAAGAAAACCAGGTGCTTACTTTTTTTTTCTTTTTTTTGCGTAGATTGTCTTCAATTAACAAGTGCCTATACAGATCAGATGTAGTCTATTTGAATTAAGCTCCTGTGATTAGGAATGGCGTATGCAAATGAACAAAACCCATACAATGAACAAATGTGCTTTTTTAAAAATCTTGCATAGTATCAAACGGAACTTATTAATTATGTAACTTTCACACTCTATAATGTTCTTTCAGAGCACAGAAGTACAGTACCACAGCCATGAAATGAGGTTTTCACAGAGATGTCGATACATGTAGGCTACTGCTAACTGTTGGCAATCTTTCTTTTTTTTGTCCGGGGGGGGGC